ATTACGCTACCATGTTCGAGGTATGTATATTCAGTATCCGCTCGGAATGGTCGCTGGTCCATTCTGGGTTCTAGTGGCCTAATCTAACCACTAGAGTGTGCACATGGTCCGATATTAGTTTTTGCCGGCAGATTTCGGTATTAGTTTGTGCCGACAGATGTTCAGTTATCAGTTACGTGACTTATGTCGCGAGATCAGACCGGTATCAGATTTCAGTTACAGTTTCAGTTCAGTTCAGTTATATATGCTTAGTTCATGATATTGTTATTATTTACAATGTTTACATTAGTATGAGTTTCTGCTGAGCACAAGTGTTTTAGTGCTCACGCCCCACGCTTTTCATGTTTTTCAGGTCGCAGGGTCGGAGACGAGGAGTGAGCGGGCGGGCTGTTCAGGACAGTTGTGATTATATGTATATATTTTTTTTGCCACGCTTGACTTCCGCTAAAACTTTTAGTACTTATTATCAGTTTTTGTTTCGACGTTAGTCGGATAAGACGTTATAACCGTTTTTAATTATCAGTTTAAAATTTTAACGGTTTTCAGAAAAATTAAGTTTTTCACAGTAGCATCCCGAATCAGTTTTCGCAAAAATTAATGTTTTATGTTTTATTCAGAAAATTTGCGAAAAATAGTGTACTCTGATATATAAAAAGTCGGGATGTTACAATCCACGTCTAACTCGGCACCAAAGTGCCTCCTCTTCTGTTTCACCGGTTTCACAGTTGGGTCAATGTTCAACCTATGCTCCGCCACCCCGGGATCGATCCCTGTAAGGTCATCAGCTGAAAAGGCAAAGACATCCGCAAACTCTTTCAATAATGCAATCAACGCGCCTTGTAGGTCAACCGTCAAGTGACGTCCTACCTTTGTTATCTTCTCCGGATCTCCTTCTATCAGCTCAACCTCCATCAGTTTGTCCTGGGAGCTAATTCCCAACTCTTGCTTCTTCTCCTGACGGGAGCACTCAGGCAGGTTGTCATTCTTCCTCTTATGATGCGCCTTGGCCGTCTTCAATGTGACCTCATAGCACCGCCGAGATTACAACTGGTCTCCGGTCACCTCCCCAACCTCATCCCCTACGGGGAACTTGATCTTCTTACAATAAGTAGAAATGGCCGCTTCGAATGAATTTAAGCTAGGCCGCCCCAGTATGATATTATAGGCCGAGATCGCATCCACGACCAAGAAGCGAACCATCTTCACCTTCCTCAAAGGTGACCTTCCCAATGCCACAGTCAAACTAATTCCACCAACGAGACGAACCTCACTACCACTGAAGCCATAGAGGGCAGTGTGGATCGGCTCGACCTTCACGTCTAACTCTAACTATTGCAAGCACTTAAGGAAAATGATATCTGTCGAGCTCCCTGTGTCTATGAGTACCCTCTGCACATCGTAACTGGCTACCTCCGCAGTGATGACCAAGGCATCATTGTGTGGGACGACAAGCCTCTACACATCGTCAGCTCCAAACTTCAAAGTGGCCAAGCTCCTCTGCACCTGTACCTCAGCCACCTCATTAGCCACACCCTTACACCGGTAGGTACTCTTTCTTTCTCTATGTGAGTCTCCGTCCGTAGAACCTCCCGCGATCATGTGTATGACACCTTTCTTTACCGGTCTGTCAGGCTGCTCATCAGTCCTCCGCCGCTTGTCCCCTGACTCGCGCCATTCCCGACGATCTTCTTGGCGCTTCCTATCCCTGATCACGAAATCCTTTAAATGACCGGCCCTAATGAGCTGCTTAATCTCATCCTTCAACTCTCGAAAAAAGTTAGTAGAATGACCATAGTCTCGGTGGTACCGACAATATCTGTCCTTGGATGCTGAAAATTTTTGTGGGGGAGGCAAAGGCTTCGGTTATGCGAGCAACTTATCCTCCCCCCGCTTCTCCATCATTTCCAAGATCTCCTGTTGTGGAGCATTAAGTGGTTTGTAGTGCTCGTACCTTGGACCCCTGAACCGGTTCTCAACCTGAGACTCCTTAGGGGCAGCTCACCGATCACCCTGTCGAGGCCTCTCCTCTGGCTGCTTAGCCTTTGTTTTGTCATTTCGGATGAAGTCCGCCTCTGATTCCTCCATGTTCACATATTTGCCTACACCTTTCAAGCAGCTCGTCAAAGGACCTCGCCGGCCACTTCGCCAATGAATCTCTGCACTTCCCAGGCCTCAATCCTCGAGTAAGGCCTCCAGCTTTGACTTCTTCCGAGGTAGAAGGGACCTCCACGCATTCCTTAGTGTACCGCGTTACGTATTGCCGCAAGGTCTTCGCTTCCTTCTGCTGCATATTAATCAACGAGAGGTATGTCTTCTCGTGCTTCCTGGCACTCGCAAATTGATTCAAAAACGGAGAGATGAACTTCTCAAAATAATCGATAGATCCTGCTGGCAGCTGATGGAACCAATCCTGCACCGACCCCTTTAATGTCATCACAAAGGCTCGGCAACACACAGCATCACTATACCTGTGCAGCACATCTATGTTGTCGAACGATCTCAAGTTCTTGGTTGGGTCCGCCGATCCATCAAAGGACAAACTCAACTCCCTGAAGTTGCTAGGCAAATCCCCTCCTAGGACATCCTCTGCGAAAGGGTGTCCTCGCGAAACTACAGGTCTCTTACCCTGCACCCGGGCTTGGAGTTCCCGTATTTGAGCTACCAACCTCTCCAAAGTCAACCCCTCCGGTTGTGTCGTCGCCACCGGGCAGGAGGTCACCGACCTGGCATCATCCTCGTCGCCACTCTCCACGCGCTGGTGCTGCTGATGCAAGGGACCTGTTGTCGAGGTACTAGTGGCTGCCGCGGCGGAGGTTGTCTAAACGACTCATTAGGAGCTCTCTTATCCACCTCTTGAGCCCGGCCTATCGCCTCCGCAATGATCATGTCCAACTCCGAACTGGTCATCTGAATAACTGGGTCCTCCCGTGGTGCCGAAGAAACATTGTCCCCCGGAGGGTTTTGTGCTCCCACCTCGACCAACTGCCTACCACCGAGGGGACCGTTCTGATCACCAGCACCTCCAGATCCCAGGGCTCCTTGATCCACCCCCATCAACCGTGGCGCCAACCTCCTTCCCCTTATCTGTCAAACCACCCAATCCTCATGTGTTTGTCGCACGCCCCTGAGCTTCTGATGGTGGTATCGGGGTCACGCTTGGGCCCAAAAACGTCTCTTTGGGGGTGACAGGCGATGGTGACCATCCTGGCGGGGAACCTGTCCCGAAGGCTCTCCGAGCCCACTCCTCATCCATCTCCTTAGCCATGTTCTTCTTCGAATTATCTTCTGCCATGACTTCTATCGCTCTTCTTTTGTAGTGAGAAAAAACAGCCCTTAAAACTCCAGTAGAAGACTGAATTTATCCCACAGACGACGCCAATTTGTTATACCACAAATACTTGAACCGTTGGACCGCTCCTCTCGAACCGGGTTGCATCTCCTTGATCGTCGGTACCTGCAAAGCACGCCGGGGGTGGTCCCAGCGCGAACACTTCAACGCTCAAGTCAATGATGGTCTAGAGAGAAAACGATAGAGTAACGAGATAACTCGTGTATGTGTGTTGTGTAAAATGAATGAACCTGCTCCTTTTTATAGGAGAAATTTGGAGAGTCCTCATGAGACAAGAAGTCTTCTTCATGTATGTCTCTTAATTAGGTCAAAAGATCCTGCATCCATAGAGTCCTTGAAGTTGTGAACCTCTTCATGACTTGAGCACGAGACTACCTCCGAGTTCTGGTCCCCTCGACGAGGCCCTTTGGCTTATCCGCCCGAGTTCCACGCAACCTAGCTACCTAGATAGGTCGTCGCAACTCAAGAGGTCGTCGCACCTCAAGAGGTCGTCGCACCTCAAGAAGTCGTCACACCTTAAGAGGTCGTCGCACCTCAAGAGGTCGTCACACCTCAATAGGCCGTCGCATCTCAACAGGTCGTCGCACCTCAAGAGGTTGACGCATCCTGGTGACACCTTTGATGATACCCTTGGTGGTACCTTTAGTAGTACCCTTGATGACATTCCCGGTACCCTCTCATATGATAGTGAAGACCGGATCATGGCCTGTCCGAGCCTAGCCATTATTAGCGTCCGTATTATGACAAAAAGAATAAATCAATATTTTAGTAATATTGTGTGGCTTTTTATTATTATTTAAATTATCTAAGTGATATTTAAATAATTATAATTATGATACATGAATATGTGTTATTCATGTTATGAGACTAAATATCTTTGTGATATTTATATTTGTGTTTATTTGTTAAACAATAACAGGAATAAATGAATATGTTTCATTAAAATAAGGTTAATTAAATTATATTTATTTTTTGTGTTATTTGTCATGATTATGAGCTTGGCGAAATTTTCGAACTCATGGAATAAACAAAAATAAAAATGACAATTTAATTATATTTACCTCATGCCTAAAATCCATTTTATATACTTGTAGATGACAACTAAATCTATGATTGGAGATTTGTCCTCCAACGAAAAGCTAGATGGTACCAATTACGACATCTGACATAGGAAGATTCAGTATCTTCTTAATGAACGCGAGGTTTTGGAAACCTTGTCCACTAGTGTGATTGAGCCAAAGGATACTGCCAGTACGTAGTACAAGGAAGAATTGACAACCTATCAGACGTGGTCCAAAAAGGATCGTTCTGCACGCTATACTATGTTGTATTGCATGCATAATGGCCTTATTGGAGAGTTTGAGAATTGTCTCACGGCTAAAGACATGTAGGACAAGCTTAAGGTCACCTTCGGACAAACTTCGGCTACTAGGCTCCGTGCCTTGAACTTAAAGTGGATGGATTACAATATGGATCCTAAACACTCTGTTGCCGAGCATTTGCGTGTCATGAGTGCTATGATACATGACCTGAAAGCTGCGGGACGAGATGTATCTGACGAGGAACAAGTTCTAAATGTGGTTCGTTCACTTCCAAATGATTATGAGAATTGGAAGAACTTCAAGCTCCTCATGGCTCATAGCGAGAATGTAAAAACTTTTTCAGAACTCGCTGAACATATTGAAATGGAAGTAGAACGTCAGAGAACGTTAGCACCTTCTATTGTTGCATTTGTTGCCCATGGTGGTCAAACCAAGGGAAATAAGCGCAAACGAGCCAAGAAATTTTCCCGTCCTTCTCAAACTTTTGGATCAAATGGTGGTTCAAAGAAACAACTTATGGCACATGGCCAAAGGAAAAAGAAAATAGCGCGTGTGAAGTGCTATAATTGTGGACAGAAAGGTCATTTCGCTCGTGATTGTGCTGAGCCGAAAAAGGTACCTTCTACCACTAACTCTTTTGAACTATTTGTTTGTTTTCATGCATTAGTTGCTAATTCTATTCCTAATTGGATTATAGATACGGGAGCAAGCAAGCACATAGTTCATGAAAGATCTGGATTTGTGGAGTTCCACCGGTTTCCTATTGGCACTCAAACTGTCATGTTAGGAAATGGGAGCGAGGAAGATGTCCTTGGGGTTGGAACATACCAACTTAAACTCCATGGTGGAAATACACTACTCCTGCATGATACTCTCTATGCACCCGGGGTGCGAAGTTGTTTACTTTCAGTTGTTTTCTTGTTAAAACTTGGGTTTTCCTTTAACTTCAATACTAGCAGTTTGGACATTTTGTATCATGACAATTTATTCGGACATGGTATTTTAAAGAATGGTTTCTTTGTTCTTGACTTGGATGAAAGTTATAATGACTCATCACATGCTTTTGCTTCATTTTATAATGTTGATTTTGAATCTATTAAATGGCATGCGCGACTTGGTCATATTGGTCAAGATAGAATGTCAAGACTAGCTAAAGAAGGACATTTAGGATAATTACCTAAGGTTAAATTGCCTAAATGTGAATCTTGTCTAGCTGAAAAAGCTACTAAAAAGCCTTTTGGTAAGGCATCAAGAGCAACAAATCCTTTAGAGCTGATTCATTCTGATATTTGTGGGCATTTAAATATAAAAGCTCGTCATGGAGCAACATATTTTATTACCTTTATAGATGATTATTCACGTTTTGGGTATGTGTACCTATTATCTCATCGACACGAAGCACTTGATACGTTCAAACGTTTCGTGGCCAAAGTTGAAAATCAAAAGGAACGAAGAATTAAGACTCTTCGTACTGATCGGGGACGTGAATATCTCTCTGATATGTTCAAAGAGTTTTGTGAGACTAAAGGTATTTCAAGGCAACTTACGGTTCCTTATACTCCGCAACAAAATGGTGTTGCTGAAAGAAGAATCGTACATTACTGGACATGGTTAGGTCGATGATGGCGCAAGCCAATCTCCCTATTAAATTTTGGGGAAATGCGTTGCTTACGACAACATATATCCTTAATCGTGTACCAAGTAAATGTGCGTCACTCACTCCATATGAGTTGTGGAACGGGAAATTACCCATTTTGGACCATTTGCGCCCTTGGGGTTCGGCTGGCTATGTGCATAACCAATCTCAAAGTATGGAAAGTTTGGTCCAAGAGCTACCAAAATAGTGTTCATTAGATACCCTAAAAATTCAAAAGGGTATGTTATGTTTGGTGAACATCCAGATGGTGGAATGACTGAGATAGACTCACGCAATGTCGATTTTCTTGAGGATGAGTTTTCAAGTATTGGTGAAATTAAGAGAGACCTTCAGTTGTATGAGTTACAACAAGAAATACAAGTATCTTTAGGAGATGAGGGGGATATGTTACCTCAACAGGTCTCCAAAGATAATGAAGTACAAGTATCTTTAGGAGATGAGGGGGATATGTTACCTCAACAAGTCTCCAAAGATAATGAAGTTTTTCTAAGTTCCACTAGTGAAAAACAAACTCAAAATGAGGATGTGCCTCATAGAGTAGAGCACGAGATAAGTCATCGAGCTCATAGTCCAATGCCTTTCGAGGACAGTGGGAGAAATTTTTCTACTAGTTTGGAAAATAATGAAGGTCCTACTTTGAGAAGGAGTGATCGTGGAAGAATTCCTCGTAGATTTTTTCAAATTGAGGAGGATGTATTTCTTTGTACTCCTTTAGAAGTAGATGAACCGAACTCTTATAAAGAGGCAATGAATTCACCATATAATTCAGAATGGAAAGATGCAATGAATGATGAGATAGACTCAATGATTAAAAATAATGTTTGGGAACATGTTGACCTACCTCATCGTCGATCAATTGGATGTAAGTGGATATTCAAAATCAAGCGTGGGGTGGATAGATCAATAGAAAAGTTCAAAGCTCGTTTAGTAGAGAAAGGTTTTACCCAAAATAAAGGTATAGATTACGATGAGACATTTTCTCCTGTGGTGAGATTTGCCTCCATTCGTCTTCTTTTGGCCCTGGTTGCCCATTAGGATTTAGAATTATTTCAAATGGACGTAAAAACAACTTTCCTCAATGGTTCTCTTGAGAAAGAGATATATATGGATCAACCTATTGGGTTTGTCCCAAAAGGGCAAGACAATAAATTTTGTCGCCTCAAAAGATCCATATATGGTCTCAAGCAGTCTTCCAGACGATGGTATCTCAAATTCCATGAAGCCATTTGTGCATTTGGTTTGACCATGGTTGATGAGGATCATTGTGTATATGTTAAGAAAAGTGAAGAAGAAATTTTGTTTCTTTCTTTATACGTTGATGACATATTGTTGGCTGGAAACGACATGGGAATGATCAATGACAATAAGCAGTGGTTGTCCTCTAACTTTGAAATGAAGGACATGGGTGAAGCTAGGTATGTCCTAGGAGTGGAAATAAAGCGAAATAGTCCTAAGAAACTTCTTGGTTTGTCTCAAGAAACATATATTAA